ACCTATTACTTATAACAGCTGGCACACTTTCAGGCAACATGTTTGTAAAGGTGACAGTGCCTCCAAAGACAAGACAGTTAAATGCTGTTGACCAAAGCCAGAACATCTACGTGACCAATGAGAAACAAATTATCTATACAGAGAAGATGAGAATTAGTTTGAATAAAAATCTGAAGCGCAGCATCTCCTTAAATGAGGACTGCACATTGCACTGAGCGAGCAGCAAACCCCACCACGGTTTACTCTGCATAAAGTTTATAAACATATCAGAACAAGGAGTTAGTTTAACACACACTTATAGACAGACTTTTCTGGAAGCTATCGACACGTCACAATCTTACCGTGGCTGTAACTTTATCCCAGTCTGTTACAAAAGCACGGAATCCTTCCCCAAAGAGCGTCCCAGCTGTCCTGTGGTAAGCAAACAGCAAGGCAAGCAGGAGAAGAGAAAGGAATTTCAAAGACTGAATTGAAACAATTTGCAAGACAACTTTGCAATGACCATCTTCAGAACCAGCCAAAGCTAACTGAGGGCTCACCTGGGAACTCAAACATGAACAAGCATGACAAATACATGTACAGTCATCTGATGTCTACATCTGATCTGGAATTAAATCCAGAAAAGCATTTGGCATTAACATAAACTTCTGTAATGAAAGGTATTTATATCTAAAGCTTTTTTTATTCAAAAGCTCAATTAACAAATTACAAATCTAAATGCCCCCCCTTTGGAGACAGACTGCTTTATACCTTTCTGGCATATGTCCAGAAACTGAAAGAACTCAGAGTTTTCAGAGTAATTGAGTCTCAATCTTCGTGAATAAGGCTTGAAGGGTTAGAAAGTGAGGGTTCTCTTAATATAATTCCTATTGTTCAGAGTACAAGAGTGTACAAACTAACTTTTAATACTCCCAGAGCTTGGAGGAATAAACAGCAAGGTTTCCTACACGATGGGAGAAATCTGCACCAGCAGCAAGGCAACCCGTGCCCTTCTCCCGGCCTGCACGTACTTGAGGGACTCCAATACTGTTTGGCGATGTTCTGCAGCTTTTAAGCGGATCTGCTCCCGGATGATGTCTGCGTTCTCCCGCTCAGCCTTGGCACGGGCTCTTGCTTCTGCCTCCACACGCAGCATTTCATTCTTATGCCGCAGCTCCATCTCTCGCTCTACAGTAGCTTAAAAAGGAAAAGGACAGAAGAGGACAGTCTTTTGGGCTGGCTTAATCCCAGGTAGCAGGCGGTTAAATGAGATGCATTGCTTCATTCTGGCTTCACAACAGCTGTGTGTGGTCCCACAGCAGCAGACTCCAGGATCTTAATTCCCTCCCACCAGCTGTGATATCAGGAGATGCTGATAGCTCACGGGGAAATCCACGTACCACAGGGCAGACATTTAGGAGTGCAGCCACTTATAAAACCTGGAAGCAACTGGTAGTTGTAGCACGACTGGGATTTACCCATTACTTGCCAGTATGACATTAACTCATCACTCTAATGGAGCATCAAACAATGCAGACAAGGAGTCAAAGATCTTTCCAGAGAACTCATCTGCCCACCCACGCCGACACAGCTAAAGAAAAATGACCAGCTTACCACGCCTCATGGCTTCCTGCTTCTGTACAGATTCTTCCTGCTTCCGCAGATTCTCTTCGTTAGCAAGTTGCTACAGGCAGAGATGACAGCAGAAGACGGGTTAAAGTTGTAAGAACTTGGTCAAGTGAGTATTTGTGCAAGCTTAAGTACTACGAACGTTCTCAAGAAACCAGTGCTTAGGTTGAAGCGCCCTCTTCCTCTCCCCATCTCCCAGATTCGTACCCTCAACCCCATGCTCCTAGCGCTTTGTCCTAATTCCCGACCTTCGATTTGCCCGGCCAGCGCTGTCGATGCCAAGCAAATAATGCAGGTGAGAGCAGCAGTGCCTGGCATCAGCCATCCGGCCAGCGGGAGAGGGCACCGCTCCAGATCATCGCTTTGACTTCAGAAAGCTACTACACAGCTCCCAGCTGGGTTAGAGAAGGAAGCCGTCATACCTGCTGCCGCATCTGTTCCTCGTAGCGCTGCCTTGCCAATTTGTCTTGGTATTGGGCTCGCTTCAGGGGAAAAAAATAAAATAGTATTCAGAATATAAAGATTAGGTTAAGAGAGAACCTAGTCCTGAGGGCAAATGCAGGGGGGAAAAAACAAACCAAAGCCCACACAAAAACAAAAAAACTACACCAGTTTTGAACACAAACGGGGCAAAGTCTGGGGTAAAACATCCTCAGCCGGCACCAAGAACTTCTCTGTGCTAAGAAATCTACATAACCTGACTTCATTTTAAGGTATCGCAGATATAAGAACAAAGAACAAGTGTTCCTTTGCCCAGAAAAGGAGACTCACTGTACTGGGAAACCATGGTTTTAACCACAATATCTGGACTGGTGATTGTAAGCAGCAGAACTCTCAAGATACGCTGCCTGTCAGACGAGCTCCTTTCTGATTTTCTTGTTTCTCATTATTTCCTCTCATTGCTTTTCCACTGCAACTGGCAAATAAGGCTATGTCATCTACACTCAACTGAAAGTGGTCTGAGGGCCCATATCCACCAGCAAGGAGGACTCTGCACAAGGGATGAGGTTATTCTCTATTCCAAATCCACAGACAGCAGAACAGCTTGCAAGTTATCTCCTCAGCAACTGTAAGGCATGGCACTTCAGAAGCAAATCATGATCAAGTTTGCGTTGACTTCAAATGATGCCCTGTGAACTGCAAGAGTTCAAGAACCACCTCATGAACAGAGCAGATGGCTGGAAACTTCCTGAGCCAGCCCCGTTCAAAGCCCAAACTCTGATGGGATAAAAAGCAACAAGTCCCAAACTGGCAGTTTCAGCTATCTTCCCAGGCTAGATATCAATTAGAATTAATCAATCCCTTAATTTCCCGTGCTCTCAAAGTAAGAAATCACCATATGTGAGCCGTGAGCCTAAAAGCTAGCTTACATTTCCCCGGTTTCTGTACTATTGCCACTCCAGTAACGAATGCTACAACATACTGGAAAGCACCAACATTGCTCACAACACAGCCTCTGGTAACTCAGATTTGCACCACTTCTCCTCTTAGGGTATTTTTTTCCTGTCTAGAAGATCAAGCTTTGAAGAAATAGAGTTGCAGACTACTTAAGACTGAAATCCAGATAACTCAAGAGACATTTCATTGCCCAGGCTAACACTAACACTTGATAAGCCATCAGTTTTCAACCTTTCACGCCACCAGCTGTTAGACACACACAAGCGTACCTCAGCGTGTTCAACAGCATTTCCCTCAGAGTTCCTTTAGAAAAACACCAAAGAGCACACAATCTGCATAACTGCTGCTACCGGTCCCTTTGGATGTACCAGAATTTGGTAACAGAAGTTTGAGGTGACAAAGCTGCACGTAACTCCAAACCCAGTTCCACGTTACAAAGCCAGGGCAGAAGATGAGCTCGGTCTGTGAACTGCCTCACATCTCAGGCCGCCCGTGAGCCCCTCTCCCCCGCCGCAAACGGGGCAAGTAATGCACTGTTCTTGTTCCATAAAGGAGGACACAAACAAGGTCTCCAACCACTCGGCTTCCCCCTCATTCCCTTACTGCTTGATGCTGTTTTGTTTCTTCACTGAGTGTTTTCCGTCTCTCTTCTGCTTGTACCCGTATCTGCTCATTCTTCAGTTGTTCTATGGCAGCTTCGTACTCCTATTAAGATAAAAAGATAATCATCACAAATGAGCTCAATATACAGCACCCTACAGAGAAATGCTAGTGACAATTATGTTCCAAGAAATCCATCTGTAATCAGTGGTACCCTGCAAAGCTGACCAATGACACAGGAAAGCTAAAATACCATCAGAAAATATGATTGTAAGAAGTCTCATGATTGGCCGTTTCAGGATTCAATACAACTTATTTAGAAAAAAAACGCCTACAAACCAACACTCAAAAAATCCCCAAATTCCTTCATAAAAGGAACAGAAGCCTGTTCTCCACCCAACTGCTTTACAGCTGCTTGCACAAAACCCTTGTCATTCCCTAAAAAAGGTGGCGATATTCTCAGATTTACAAAATCACTCAGGACATGCAACGCAAGTTGGAAACAAAGCCATAAAATATGCCTGAGGAGATACAAAATCACCTGCACTTCACTTCCCAGACTTACTTTTTTAAAAAAGAAGACAAGTAACTATGATGAGCTGAACAGCAACAAGAAAAATTTCACCCCCTCTGCAGACTGCCAGAAAATGAGACTTCGACTCACGCCCCCCACGCACCCAGCAGTTCCCCGAGGCGGGCTGGCTGGCTCTACGACGAGTTCCAACGTACCTTAAGCTTCGTTTGCTGCTCCAGCTGCAAGGTCTGCTCTTGCATCTGCGCGAGACTGAGGGCATCCTTCGCGTGGCCTGAAGTTGACAGCGGGAAGAGGTTACTGCCAGTACAAAGCTCTTATCTCAAGTAGAAAACACCCTCAGTCTATTCAGTCTGACCCGGCACTGGCTGAGGCTGCCGGGTGCCCAACTCTGGGGCCGCACATTCCACCCTGCCTGCACAAGAGGCTTGGAATAGCATCTCTCCTGCGAGGAGAGGCTGAGGGAGCTGGGCTTGTTCAGCCTGGAGAAGAGAAGGCTGAGAGGGGACCTTCTAAATATCCGCAGGGTGGGTGACACAAGGACGGGGCCAGACTCTGTTCAGTGGTGCCCAGCGACAGGACAAGGGGCAATGGGCACAAACTGAAGCAGAGGAAGCTCCAGCTGAACATGAGGAAGAACTTCTTCCCTCTGAGGGTGACGGAGCCCTGGCCCAGGCTGCCCAGGGAGGCTGTGGAGTCTCCTTCTCTGGAGATATTCCAGCCCCGCCTGGACAAGGTCCTGTGC